CTTCTGAGATCTGACCAGATCAGCCTTGATATCAGTGTTTGATATCATGTCCACCATAAGGTCATGAATTTTCTGCTGCTATGACGTGTTTTGACAGGGTGTATGCTAGCTTAAGCAATTAAGGAACATTACAAGCTACAGTACATAGGATAACAAATCAGCTAATCGATGTCAGGTTTCAAAAATACATGATTAGACAGCGACAGGCGCAGATCCGTAACCACAGACCCACCTCGCCACCCCTACAGTGTATCTTTGGCCCTGACTTTGAATGTGGTTTCAGCTTTGGCAAGTGAAAGTTCAGCTGCAACCCTAAATAAAATATCATAACATACTGTATTTATTAACAATTTGAATAGTCTTGTCTTTCCCTTATCCTGCTCTCCGCACTGTTACTGCCTTAAATCCTGTGGCACATGGTTTCACCAACAACAGATAAGGGAATTGAACGTCTATTATTAATCAAACAGGTTTTTTTGCATTGACATGGCCTGCGCTTTGCACTCTTGAGGCTGAAGAACATCATTGCCTAAGGAAAGCCTCAGGTATATTGCACCTCTGTTTTGGTCAAGGTGCATTATACCCATTGGTGATCAGTCCAGCGTCATGGATCTTGTGCAACACATCACTGAGCTGCAGTGTGCTCAAGATGTTGCTCCCAGGTGGCACTAAGTATATGTTGAAGACTACACTGGAGGATGGCCAGGATTTCCTGTAGTCCAAAAAACATCACTAGATGGCGTCTAAAACAAACCAAATGGGGTATAGAATGCTAATTGCTAGTTAACAGTCAATTTAGTTAATTGCTTTGCGTTTGACCTCAGTAGTACTTGCTAAATATCCGTTGTTTAAGGTAGAAATGTACTGGGCGCTTCCCAGCTGCTAGCTCATCTGCTGTATGTACTGCAGGGTTGAGAACACATACAGGTTGAAAACACATAGCAAACTCTGAGATTTCTTTTAACCGCAGGGCAATTCCAGGAGCTGCAGGAATCTTCAATAACCTGCATGCATAATGTAGTTATTAGTTTTCCTGAAGGCCATGATCAGGTTTTTTTAGAATAAAATAAAATCCGGGTCCTTCCAGGTTTTCATAATGACTGGATGTTGTTTTGTACCATTGCAATTCATTGTGATTTCTGTATCTGTATCTGTTGCTGCTGCCCTGTAGTCGGGTTGGAGATGTCTGGCAACTCTTCAGCTATCCCATTGGAGAAACCTGTTCCTAATTTTCTTCATCTTGGACGCATTGAGTCAGTAACATCTGGGCCCACGTTCAGTCTTTCCATTCCATCAGGAGATGTACAGTACAAAGAAGAAACTGCAGAAGAAAAACCATTCCTTCTTACCTTAATCTGGCATGCCGATCTCAAAGGTAACCAGACTGGCTGTGCGCAAGACTTGCCATTTCACAGAGAGCTTCTGTTCAGATCCTGTTGAAAGCAAGAGCACTTTTTGACCTGGTTTATGTAACATTTTCCTGGCTCGCGTGTTGTAACTAGACGTCTCGGCCAAGATGTGTTGAAGCAGAAAAGCGAAGTCCTCCAGCTTGTTCCAGATCTTTAGTTCGTTCTGCAGGACGTTTTCAGCTGCTCCCCAGTGTCCTCCTCCTGCAGCCCTCTCAATGTCCTGCCATGGTGCAGGGTGAGGAATCAGCTTAGGCCTGAGGGACCTCTCTGCGTGCAGAGAGAGGGGGGACGATGACTGGAAGCCGCAGTCATTTTCCTTTATCACCCACTCAAAGTGCTAAAGCATTGTCTTCAGGATCTGATTATTCCACCAAATCCCAGTCAGTCTGTGAGTCTATACAGTATGTGATCGTGAAAAGCTTTGATCAAGATCAGTGGTAATCTTTCTGGGAATACACAAGGATAGGAATGCATTTAGCATCTTTACTACCCAGTTATCCTTAATGCTACACAACAGAAATGCTTGCATTAGGAAGTCGGGCTGCATAACCAATTAGCACTAATACAATGTGCTACCTGATCTGCCTAGGGACTTGCAATATCCATGGCTTCCTTACTATGTTTAAACACTGCAAAAGATGCTCTAGGCTTTATACTTAGTATAAAGGGCTTGCCAGCAGAACCTGCTAGCTATTCTTGTTAGTCTTCTCATGGCCCACATGACAGGGTGTGAAATGGCCCGAATTCAACATTTAGGCTCTGACTGCTTCAGATCCTACCAACTTCCTGTCTTGTGCTTTCTTCTTTGTAACAGGGCAGTACTGTACATTGAGGCAAAATGGAAATTCTTCACTCCCCAGTGTGCTGTAGGAAATTAGTTTCTGTCCTCAGTCAGCTGTCCAGGAGCTGGAAGACCATTGGTCAGGTGACAGTTCAGGAAGCAGGAAGCAGAGGTTTCTGATGGTTGGTCTTGTCTGTCATCTGTCTTGATTTGATTTTCCCCACTCTGTACATAAAAGAATATTGTTCGGGTCTTACGGCTCCTTTGTTGTGGGTGTGGGTTCCTAAGGTCCCCTTCCGGCGTCCCAGCCCTCGGGTATGTTGCACCTTGTACAGCAACCCATCGTCACTTATGTAGGCCTCTCCAAACCTACTGTAGCCTTGCTTTTCCCGCAGCTCGATGGAAAGGGAATTGCAAGGGTCAACCTGCCCCTTGTAAGGCATAGAAATCACTAGGGACCTGCCAGTCAATATAAAACTCCTCCTCTTTGGGTTTTTGCTTCTTTTGCCACCCTTGCCAGGTGATTCCAGCCCTGGGCGTCATGTGGGTTTTCTGTTTTCTGTTTTTGCTAGAGAACCAGGGAACGAGGAGAAGGGCAATGCTGGAAATCAAAAAGAAAGAACACAACATGACTTGAGAGACAGCACAGCGGGTGGGCTTGGTTCTCAACAAGCTCACGGCAGCTATGGCTTTCCTCTTACATGTGCTGTGACATATTATGCTCAGGAACAAGTAACAGGTTTATTCCACTCTGGAAAGAGACGAAAGAAAACAGGCTCCACAGCCGAAACGTTGTGTTTTCTTTCTTCTCTTTTCAGCAGGGGATAAACCTGCTACTTGTTCCTTTGCAGCCTACGCATGCTGACGCAGCTACCCACCTGAACTGCTGTAATATATTATGTTGCTTTTGCTGACATGAAGCGCTCATTTTGATTTATATCTTAATGAGTTCTTCTTATATTGTCTGTTCAGCAGCGTGTATGTTGTTTTGTTGTGCATATACGTCTCCAGCTTCCAACATTGTCAATGAGCATAAATATGTTAAAGTATTAATCAAACAGAGTCTGGAAAAGGCAAAGCACAATGGATGATGTCCCTTTGGTTGGCAATTGTATGAGACAGATTTTTTAAAACACGGACAGTGCACCTTCAAGGAGAGTACAGTAAATACATTTTAGAGGGAAATACATTTTTGCTGGTGTTTGAGTCTTGCAGTGTCTCATACTATATTTAGGGAATGAAAAACACTTTTTGCTTGCTTTTGGATAGCATCAAAGAACAACAAAGTGCCCTGTAAATAACATCTGCGGAGCCTTTATGATAATCAAGACACACTGGTTGTGACTAGTTAATCAAAACTGGTCGGGCTGTCAGTTTGGAGGAATAAGAAGGGATGCGCTCCAGCTCTTGTGAGATGTCTGCGCTGCTCCGTTCTCTCTTGCGGAGCTGAAGGGAAGGTGAGTGAGCCTGTGTGTTGTTTGTGCTGGTCGAGGTTCTGTGTCTTGTTTGTTCAGGCTGATTAAGCTTCCACCAAACACAAACACAGAGGTAAACTTTGCTGACGGAGAACACTGCCCGCATCTTCGATCAGATCGGTGTAGCTCAGGCTGTATGCTGAAGTCTTTCACTCCCACTCTGTTACAAAACAGGAGCTTTGTTATGATGAAATGTCTGCAATTTCTTTCTTGTGCGTACATAAATTAGTTTGCACAGAAGAGGCCCATAAGAAAATTATGTCTTATCCTCAGGTTGCAAATGGATATCTTGATCAAGTTACCCACCCTTGTTGCTGAAGCCTATACTCTGGATTGTTTCAAGAAACAGCTTTTTGGCTAGATGGACCAGAAGACCTCCTCTCATAGTTGATCCTTCTAGTCTTGTTATGGCAAGAAGATAAGAAGTAAAATTTATTGCATTTTGTTCTTTACTTACAGGAAATATATCAGCATCATATTATTCTCATAAGTATACCACTAAGATCTGATATACATATTTTTAAAAAGATGTCTTTTTGTGCTTTGTGTGGTGTTGATAGAATTCTTCTGTCATTCTCCTGTCTGTGCCAGAATGTCCAAACCAATGGCCTAATGTAATGAAAATGCACTGTGCTGTTGGAGGTGCTGTTAATTGGGTGAGCTGTTAAGCCTCAGTTCTGATTGCTTGGGCCTTAAAGATGCTAGTGCTCTTTTGAAAAGTGGGCCGTTAACTCCAGTGTCCTGCAAAGGTCCAGTACATATCGGACGGTCCAGTACAATTCCTACGGTTTCCTTTTTTTTCCCAATTTCTCGCTGCTCCGCCTGATGTGCTGTGCAGGTGGGCATCGGCCAGGTGCCTTGGGATCCTTGACAGTGGTGGTTACTCTGGTTACGATGGCAGGGTGACGTAGGGCAGACTAAAATACACTACCTTTGTGCTGAGCGACGTAGTGCCAAAGTCACCAAATTACAGTTCGACCTTTGGTCTCAGTTTTGACTACATTCTGCAGAGAGAGAGGAGGGAGCCCGAGCTGTAGGCTTCTTTATGCAAAGGGTTGTGGAAGTCTGGAAGAAGCTATACCCAATCAAGCTGGCTCAAATCCTTGGATCAGTTAACTTCTAAATGTGAAACTGGCCAGGCGGGCCACATGAACTCCTCTCATTTGTAATCTTTCTTATTTTCTATGAGGCTCCAAAAATGCCGACAACACAGTGTAAATGTGTAATGTCTTCTTGACACAGACTATTATAGGACTTTACAGCAGCACAGCTCTGTACTTTAGAACCCTCCCAGTTCAGTGGGTGTGAAACAAACAGTTATTGTATTGTAAGCATAAAGAAGTGTCTAAACAGGTATAAAAAAGCTGAGTCTTTCCAGAAAGTCAATTCAGCCTTTAAATCTTTGAGCTCTGTTGACATGCAAATATCAGATACTGTCAGACGACAAGACCTGTATCAGTTATCTAACAAAGGAATGACAAGCTCTCTCCCCTAACTGCGCAGTCTGGGAAGATCGTGATATATGATCTAGTGTCTATTACAGCTCTGAACGGGAGCCATCTTTCCAGTGTGATAGTTTATTGACCCTGGAAGTCAGTTATATAGATAAGCCAGGCAGGGGCACTCAGACAGCATGATCGCCGGCTGACAGAAGAGCAAGCATGAGCCTGGAACACACAGGAAGCCAAGGCACAGGAGCCAGGGACCAAGTGACACCGCCCCAGTGGTCCCAGAGTGCCCCAGCCCTGCCAGAGGGCACCAAGGAGCCCCGGTGTCTGAGGCCTGCGGACGTGGAGATGTGCCAGTCCGTTCTGCCCTGCCACGCCAATCACAGGGGCGAGCTGGGGGCTGGACAGCTCCTGAAGTGGATTGACACCACAGCGTGCCTGGCAGGTAAGCCGCAGGGGACCAGGGCTCTCGTGGCTGCCTCCCAGCAGAGTCAGCTCAGGCTTGTACCGATCGAGGGAGAGATCAATGTATCCGACACGCTGAAGATGACACAAACGCACAAGCACAGAATTGCAGGCACTGTTATTTGGTATTAGCAAATATTTTTTCTGTCTGCTTTTGTGTTTTTCATTCATTTTATAAGCTATTATATTATTTGATACATCTCTCCTGCAATGTCTTCTGCACTTATTCATATTAGTTTCATATTACCCCTGTATAAAGGCATCAAAATACTTTGACAGATATTGTTCCTGATACAGTACATAATGGCAACATTCTAGAAATGTCGTTCCTTGAAATGAAATGGAAAGGTGCAAGTTGTTCAGAACTAGACTGTCTTCTGTCTGGTGAATGTCCCTGTTCAGATGCTGTACCCTTACCTGTCTGTAAGGACTGTATGTGAAATTCACCTTTTTTTAACAGAGATAAACAGAATGTTTGCTTAGTTTTGCTTAAAGTGCTTAACACTGTATCAGTTTGCAGGTTTTATGAAACTGAAATGCTGAAACATTTCTGAACTCCGTTATTCAAATGCTGGCATCCCTGTGGAGAGTTTATCTGGAGTCTGGCTTTAACAGAACTACAGGCAGTGTGCTATTCAGGCTATGGATTTTTTTTTCAATCTCTTCCACACCTAATGGGAAATAAAGACTACTGATGTTTTTGAAGTACATCACAATTGCTTCTTTTCCAAATTCAGGCCACATGTTAACAGCTGGCAGTGACAATGTCAAGCTTTCATATTACACAGAATGCTAACAATATAGATTCAAATTGCATTTTTTTCCTGTCAGTTCCAATAATGATAGCTGCCAGGATTTCCCTATTGAAACTAAAGAGTCTGGATACACTCAATTTCCATACAAACTATTTTTATCAATTCAACACAAAGCTTTACAGGCGTTTTACTGCTCCCTGACCTTCTGTTATTGAAAAAAGCAGCTTCCATAAGAATGTGGAATAATACAGCATGTTCTTATTAACGAGAACTGCCTCAAATTAGTTCCCCATGAGAGGGTTCAGGAATTTATCCGTGGTACCTGTCTTTAAATGGTGTCTGGTTATTCTCTTTTTAATTTTATTCAGATATGAACATCAGCCTGTGCACTTACTGATTATGTACTGATGGTCTTTCTTCTATATTCTAAAACATACAATATCTGTACTGTATAGATGTGCTTATGTACTACAGTATATATGATGGAAGAAAGGGCTACAGTACTTTCATTTTCCTGTTTGAAGAATACCAAACTACTGTACTGTATGTTTCCTAAATGATAGGTCAGATATCTTGCCACAGTGAAGATAACAGTAAGATACATTTAACTTTTATCACAGCAACTAGTATTGCACTTTTAAATTCAAATTAAACAAGACACTAATATTTACAGGGAGACTGATGGTACTGGCTGGTCCTTCAGGAAGTTTTGTTTTCCCTCTCCCTTATAGGTTTTTGTTTTTCTGGATGAAAATTGAATAGATCTGAATAATATCTATTGTTCTGAAAGTACGTTCTCAGTGCAGTACTTTGCTATGGAGAGCACTACAGTCATTGATTGTTCTGCTTGTTGCAGTCTATGCTTGTAACCTATTAACAGCATGTTAGAAAGACGTGTAAGAAGCCCATCACCACTATAAAAACAAGGCATTCCTGAAAACCTGGATAGATCCTTCCCTCTTCTAGCTCAAGGCATGGAAGTACACATCACTTGTAAATGTTCAATGAGCACGTTTACTGTACCTTAACCCACCCGTCCTTCTGCACGGGTCTGCCAGGGAAACCTTCTTCTGGTCCCGATGAAGACTGAAATCAAAGTGCTGTTTTATAAGCTATGCTAACTTTATGAAGCGAATGTAGTTCTCATGGTGGATGAGATGCAGTGTGGGAACCAAAATGTGTCACGGGTGTCGGAAGGGACGAACCGCGGAATGGCAGGAGAGCGAAAAAGACCCTCTCCGTAGCGGCGAGACGGGGGTTAGCCCGGGCTCAGCTGTTCAGGAAATGCCCTATAGAAACCTATGCCCTCAGGTAGCAGATGTGGGGCGACCTGGTGCTAGGCGGGTTTCAGGACATCCGAACCTCACAGCTGAGCGAAGGAGCAGAGCAGAAGCAGGAAGTAAACAGGCTACACAACAAGACACACCAGAAAGACATGAATAATCACAGGGAACTAGGAACAGGAGAGAAGTACAGTAGAGCACCCTCGAGGTGTACTGGGCGTGACAAAATGAAGAGTAATTGTTCTGGAACACCTGTCCTGCAGAGTTTTTTTGCGTTGGTAGCAGTGTTTGTCTTTTTGCATTTTCACTGGTACGGTAGGTGTGCTGTGACCTAGCCAATCTCAGCTCATTGGATCGATTCCCAAGGCTCTGAAGTCATTAATAGCAATGCAGAACGCACACAGCCAGCACTGTTGTCATGTTGAACTCTCAGTTCATACAGTACATGCATACTGAGTGTTAAAAACTTCAGATCTGTCCAGACGTACATACAGTGCTTAGGACTGTACTTTGGTGGAAAGGCCTGAATGAAATGGGAGAATATGTGTGTACCAAACAAATCATTAATATACATTTTACGCAATGTATGATATAGCTCTTACTGTTCATCTAAAATTTAAGTGCAGTAATGACCTGCTGTTACCTCATGATTTCTCTGATACAGGAGTGAGCTGTCTTCAGGGTGAAAGGAGCATGTTTTGATATGTGAGAATATAAATGATTTACATGGTCCTTAGAGTTTCACTCTTTACTTTTATCAAAGGCCGTTTTCTGCTCCAGTTCATGTGATAAAAACAGATAAATAGATAAGACTGCCCGTGCCGCATGTTTGTAAACAGGCTGTCAGGGTGGAAAGGAGGGCAAAGTCTGAGAAAACTGAAGAAGGTGAATGGGAAAAATGTAAGGGAGCTGGATGGGTTCATTTGTGTGCATAAATAAATCACAGTCATGTAAAAAACACATCAGAGCATCACACAGTCCTGCATTAAAAATCTTGCTTTATTTGTATTTTGCTTGTTGCTGTTGTTTTAAATATGTGCTGCACTATGCTGCCTTGGACAGTGCCTTTAAAAAATATTCAGGCCCTTGCTGTGGTGTCCTGTTTTGTGAAGTTACAAAAAGATGTCTACACATTTTTTTAACTTGATATTTTATTCAGAACCTGAACTCTCAAGCCAAAGACCTCTAAGGGTAAGATGACAGTGACTGTCAGCAAAAGCTAAAGAGAAAAACACTTGAAATACAGTATGTTGATCCAACGCTGTATGTACTGTTTTCAGACCTGTGAACTCAGTATTTGGTGCAGGACCTTTGGCGACAGTTACAGCCGCAGGTCCTTTTGAGTAAGTCTCTACCGCACACTGAACTGAATACGTTGCACACAGAACTGGTGCGATTTTTGTCCATTCCTCATGATAGACTGGCTCACGCTCTCTCAAATTGCCTGAGAATCACTGATGCATGTTCAAGTCCTTCCACAGATTCTGACTAGGAATCAAGTCAGGACTTTGACTGGGTCACTCAAGGACATTCAGTCCTGTGTAGCTTTGGCCCTGTGCCTTAGATCATAGTCCTACAGGAAGGTGAGGCTTATGTCCCAGTTTGAAACAGGTTTCCCTCTAGGATTTGGCAGTACTTTGCTCCATCCATGTTCCAATTAGCTTTGCCAAGCCTGGGGTGGCAGCCTAAACTAGACAGTACGGAAGCACCTCCCACTTCTTAGTGACTGATTTCACCTTGCTCAAAGAGATATGAACCATTTGTAAATGCTTTATATCCTACTTCTGATCTGTGCCTTTATACAACTTTATCCCTGAGTTGTTTTAAAAGCTCCTTAATGTTCTAGTTGACTCTGCTTATAATTCACTAGCTGACTGAAGGACCTTACAGAGACATGTCAGTTTATTTTGAAAATGTGACCCACCATTATTTCATACAGTACAGTACTTAGCTAACTGTGTGGCTCGTTAAGATAGTTTTGTGCACCAAAATAAATGTACGTATGCAGTCATGGCTTTTCCATTTTTCTTTCTTAGTAATTATTTAAATCTTTATTTTTGTTTTTTGCTCTGAATGTGTGGAGTAGGTTGTGTGTCTATGAAATATTAATGGTTGCATCAAAGTATTTAAAGCAACAAAATGTGAAAAGTGGGCAAGGGTCTGAGTACTTTTAAAAAATACTGTGTACTACTGCAGTTTGGTGTGAAATGATGTTGAATAAGCTTTCATCATGTTTTGCTTTCTGGGCACTCTGGAGTTTTTCTCTGTGTCAACACTGAAGAACAGAGAAGTAAATTCCAGTGCTTTGGTGTTGAGTCCACCCTTCATATTAATGGATAACTCCCAGGTCTTATTGACGTTTGCTTGACCTCAGTGCTCGCTTTCTTTTTGAACTTTTCAGAACATGATGCTCTGTGTCCCGCAGTGTAGGGCAGCCACCTGTGCTCTCTCTGGCTGTTTACAGGACACTGACTTATCGGCCATGACGCCAGTGCGTCTGTGGGACCCTTTTCCAAATTGCCTCAGATCTGTCTTTGATTTCTTTGATTTGCAATGTCTTGCGATTTTGTTTCACTGACCCCTAAAGTTTCATTGCCCTCTAAAATGGTTAATCCTTGAATCGACAAAAGCAGAAAAACAGTCTATTGTTCACCAAATGAAAAATAATTAATTAATTTGCACGCCTTTTCTTTTTGAAATAGGTTATTTTTTCTTTTCTTTTCTTTCATTTTGAAATAGGGACCAAATAGGTTCAAAGGTTTCAGGCTGCCTGCTTTTTTGTGGAAAGCACAATTCATAAGAGCACTGTACAGTACCACTGCATTACATACACTTATATCTTCACAAATACCACAAGCAGGCACAATTGCGTTTGAAATTAATTTTGTAGAAGATGGTTATAATTATTATTGCACTGTTATCTGTTGATGATCTACTGTATGTAATCACTTCCTTAATTAGACGGTCTTATACTGTAGCTCTCTGTGCTAGGGATACTAATGTAATGACAATTCAAAATAACTTCCGCTAACTACCATAATTTACATTATAACAGGTTATATTTATCTTGTTACAGGTACATACAGTACAGAGGGTAAGACAGTTATGAAAAGTTATTCCTTGCAGTACTTTTGCATTGCTATTGTCTTCAAAGTGACTAATTTATTTGGCTGACAGTCGCTTAAGTGCCTTGTAGAGACTATGGATGCATTCTGATTAAGAAATGCATAATAATATTGCAATATGTATGTTTCTGTTTGGTAATTCTACTGTATGTGATTGTACAGATACATAGATATATATATAGATATGAAACAGACAAAGCAACATTTTCAGGAGGGACATTCCCAGTCTTCAGATGCATTGTAGCACACGAAGATGTCATTAGTCCAGAGACGACTGACTAGTCTCTACAAGGCACTAGATACTTTCCCAGGCTCAAAAGAAAGTCTTACACTACTGAACAGACACCCTTATCCAGGGAAACACATGATCTTCATAAGGTTTTCATGAAGTGCACATACAAAAGGAAAAAACAATACGGTCAAGTAAGAGAAAGATCCAAAAATATTGCAATAAAGGCAAATATAATAACACTAACGGGCTCAGGCTACACTAAGAGTGTGAAAGAACTGAACCTTTTTAGTGTTAAACAGAGAGGACATGGAGTCCTGCTAGCACACAAGATTTGAAAATCTTTAAAGATGTTGACAGACTCAACCCAGCAGAGGAACATGAACCAGAGAGCCCAGGTGGGACTAATAAAATGGACTAAGGTGATTTATTCTAAGGGAAAGTCCTACAAATAATGAGAAACTAAGGAGAAGCTTATTTAATACCGATCCCAGGGGACACTTCTTTACACAAACAGCTGTGAGGGTATAGATCAACCCACCCACCTGTTGCTGAATAAATTGTCAACTAAAAACCAAATGATCTTGATGGACGAAAGTCCTGCTCTTTTTCTTGCCCAAGGAGTCCAGATATGTTATGACCATGTTGTGAAATCTCCTCAGTAACCATTTCTACTGTGATAAAAACAAGTATAAAACGTATACAGGATTTATTGCTCAGGAAATTTCAACATTATTCATGCTGTGGTCTAAAGGTTTTAGCTAAAATCATTTTGGAAGAACCTAATATAATTAATCTCTGTGAGCAGAGAAACCTTTAAAAATAATCTTAGGGCATGAGAAAACCAACACATGAAGTTACAGTATTTGCAACCTGGTTTGTCCTGCTGTCCACTAGTGTATCCGTGAAAAATTCCTAAAAACAGATTAAAATGTTTAAAATGACACAATGAAACCATATACAGGGCATGTATAATGCAAGCAAGACCTCACCATATCATGCTGTTGATGTCGTATCTCATGTCCTTAAAATTCAAATGCGTACTTATTGCTGCTGTGCCAAAACATCTGTTTCCTGGTTTACATGTACTACAAATGTCTTCATGTTGTGTAAATGAGTTTTTAGAGGGGTATTGCTAAAATAAAAAAGACTAGATTGTAGAATGCAAGCAAGATTGTAACAGGAGCCGCTTCAGACTCCCGTGTAGTGCGTATTTCGGACCCTGTGCACACGGTATATTCCGGAAGTGACTGGAGTAGGACATCAGGGGAGACACAGCAGGAACAGGACAGGATGACAGACAGGGGGGCGTGACGGCTGTGATCCGGGGCTCTGGGGGGCATGGCGCGGGCGAACAAGTCCAACACCGTCCAAAAAGGGAAACCGGGGCGCAGTCCATAATCCGAAACCAGGAGGTCCATCCAAGACAAGGACGATTAAAATCACCGGGAAGGGAGAAGACGATCAGGAACACAGAGGTTAAAAGGATAACGAGGCCAGGCGCTCCGAGCCCCGGACCCAGACGGTCAGGACGCTGGGGTGAGGCCTATGCCATCAGGTCATCCTGGACCCGCTGGTAGGCTTCCGGGCGTCCGTCTTCCATAGCTGAGCCGAGAGCTACCGAAACGCCACTCTTACATAGTAAACAGCAGACAGGGGGCAGGTGCACATCATAACAAAACTAAAATAGTGCCCTCTAGAGGAGGGATGACGATCCTGACAAAGATTATATAGTACTGTATGTGGGAGCGGGCATAAGCAGTTTTTCTCACTCTACACATCTGCTACAAATACTGCACTGTACTGTGTTCTTCAGTTCAAAGAAATCCACCTCCTGGTCTCCTGTCCTGTATTTGACAGTGCATGAACAAGGCTCACCTAATTGGCACAATGGATTAAGCGCAAGTGTGGCAAACCTGAAACTCAATTATTTCATTCCGTTTCACAGACAGATGGTGACGAGCTTCAGGCTGTGGTAATGAGGCCGTATTAATAAATCTCGTGTACTGTGCCCGGGTAATCTGGATCTTTTCCTGGTTTTATTCCAGCGGAGAAGCATGCTGGAGTGCCTTGTGTTACGGCTTCGATGGATGACATACAGTTTGAAGAAACCGTGAGGTACAGTACTTATTTACTCCCTGCTTCAAGAGTACAAAAGGAAACATTAGGCAAAAAACAACAACTGGTCTCTCCAGAATTCTTTTTTTCTGGGGGATGAAAATGAGAATGATATTAATTTTTCAATCAATTCTTATCTCAGTTTTGATTCGCAACATTGATTTGAAGCAACAGATGTTGGTAAAAACTCACATAGTAAATTTTTAGGTGATAATTTACAGAAGGTACAAACACCACTTTAAAAAAATATCTGATAGAGTTATCAAAACGTGAAAAGAGTTACGTTATGTTCCAAACTCACTGGTGAATTTCTTATAAATGTGATATAAATGTATGATGTATGACAATAATATGTTTAAGTAGCAGTGCATGTTCTTGTTATGGACTAATAATCCTCTCTTTGCTGTTTGTAGAGTTGGGCAGATTATCAATGTTAAAGCCAAAGTGAACAGAGCTTTCAACAGCAGTATGGAGGTAAGTGGTTGTTTCAGAGGAGCCTGGCTGCTGCTCCACAGTTGTCCTGGGTTCCTCTCTGTCTCAGGGGTCACATCAGGCTAAGACTGATGTCACATGTTCACTCAGCCTTTCCTTTCTCACTGGGTTCTCTAGACATAACAAAGGACACAGACAATTCCTCAAAGTGAGGTGAACATTTATTCTGAAAGGGAAATGAGATCAAATCAAAGCAAACAGTACAAAGAATCACAGTAATCCCATCTATACTTTCTTATTCATTTAAGCAAAAAAAGTGCACAATGTAACAAAATGAAAAATGGCATACACCTGTGTACTGTATACGACTGTTTCACTATTCAGTCAGCTACGGTACATCATGCTGATGAAGTGCAAGTGTAAAACAGCTGTCTGTTGTTGATAACTTTGACTTCTTATTTGTAAAAGACGGAAATAGAAGTTTTAAGTTGCAACATAGTAAGAGCTAATTAGAATCCATGCTGCGTCCCATATTAATTAGCATATGTAACACATATGTTGATATAATGTTTCCTGATTTGTTGCTTTTGGTCTTTCTTGTGGGTAATTTTGTGAACAAATTGTAAAACAAAACTGGCTAAAAACATTCACACAATTTATCATATCATATTTCTAGATCATTTTTTCACTTGAAGAACTGCAGACAAAACCCCGATCAGACTGAGATTATTAATTTCTATGTTTTGCAACTGAAGAAATTAAACGGAAAACAACAACAAAAAGTCTACCCCATCCCACAAAATCCTTGGTATCCTCTTCCCGGGTTTCCAGACGAAAGTGCTGTGATGGCTCAGTGGCTGTTGTGCTTTGTGTGTGCAGGTTGGCATAAGGGTGTCTGTACAGGATGTCCAGACTGGCATTCTGAAGCAGGTCTGCGTGGCATATTCAACGTTCGTGGTGAAGCCAGTTGGATCCCAGAAGGTGAGACAGCCAAGTGCCATCACATCAGTTCCATGATCTCACAAGTTGTTTCTAGACCGAAAGCAGAAATCGGCGGGCAGTCTGAACAGAACAGAAGGGGTACTGTACGAGAAACATGGGAGACACAGACCTCTGTTGCCCCCAGAGGAAGCCCAGAGAGCTCAGGCCTGTGCCTGTTTCAAGGCCTGCCGATGAGCAACACCACTTCCAAGGGTTTCTCTCTGACTCGGCGCCCCACTGTCAGGCAATAGTCACTGAGCAATTGCCATACTCTCATCGGACATTGCGTATTTCCATGAGTGGGAACTGAACGCCGGACA